AGTTCCAAAACTAAATTGGGTCCAAGACTGGCAGGTGGGTCAGTTATCTCGTGTTTTTAAAAAAGTGACCTCCTCTTTAGTGTGGCTGTGTACATCTTATGTCATTCAAAAGAGAAATGCTTTATTTGTAAGAAACATAATTCTTTCATGAGAATGTCCTCTGTTGTCAATTATTTGTAAAAACATAAGCAATTAGGGCTTAGGAGATGTCTCACTGGGTAAAGTTCTTGCTGTGCAAGCATGAGGAGCTGAGTTCAGATCCCTAGTGCCATATAAAAAGACAGCATGGTGTCCCGCGCGCGCTGTATTTTCTCGGCCGGCAAGAACTACACGCAGGACACTCGGATCCTTCTGCAGACAAGCTTTAATGCATAAGCTTACCAGAGCGGCGACTCTGAACCAAGAAAACCCATCCCTAATAAAGGCTGGCCAGCCGCCTGGGACGTGTTACCCTATGAATGGCTTCAGCTCCTCAGGCCAAATGAGCCACGGGATAGGCAGAGATCAAAGGAATGGAGATTACCCAGCGCCTGTGAAGTAATTTACATCTTGGTGTCTTTAGGCACCATTATTGTAATGGAGCATGCAGGAAACGGCCCCCTACAACATGGGGCGATTCAAATCAGTAACAGCAGTGCTGGTAGGAGAGACAGGTAATCCTGAAGGGATTTAATGAGAGATCCTGTCTCAACAAAGTAAGGTGGGGATCAATAAGGAAGACATTCATGCACACACCAGAGAGGGGGTAGAGGAGAGGGAAAACTTAAGCAACTAATAAAACCAAAACATTTTTAACTGTGAGGAAGGGACTGGGGTGAATAGCTCAGTAAGTACTTGCTGAACAAGTATAAGGACCTGAGATCAATTCCCAAAAGCCACATATAAAAAAAAAAGTCCATTACAGTGGCACACACCTTCATCTTGGCACCAAGCAGACTGATCTCTCAGGCTCACTGGCCAGCCAGCCAGCCATCCTAGTGTACTTGGTAAATGCTAGGCCAACATGAGACCTTGTCTCAGAAACAAAAGCAAGGTAGATGGCATTTGTTGTTCTCTGGCCTCCACACATGTACACTGCCTATGCATACATGAACACATGCACACACATGCAGATATATCTTAATAAGTGTGTTATGGACACACACACACACACACACACACACACACACACACACACATATATATATATATAATATGAAATAATAAATTTTGAGAAACACTAAAATTTAATTCTCAAACCTGTTTACACTAAAATAATAGTTTTCTGTTTCTTTGTCATGGTGTTGAAGATTGAACAAAGGGTCATTTGAGTGCTGGGCGATGGATGTTTTACCACTGAACTGTATCCATAGCCCTTAAATATAGCTACTTAAGCTAAAATGAAAGTCTCAGCATCTTTGGGGAAAAATGAAATCTCTGTGCTTGTTTTTGTAGACAGTGAGACGAGTTAAACTCTGGAGGAACAAGAATATTGTGGGAAGAGTCTCCCTACTAGACCCCAAGACATCAAGACATCTTTTTAAAGCTACAGTCATAAGGCAATGACATGATGGCAGAAACTTAGACGTGTAAAACAGTGGAACAGAACAGCAAGGCTGCAAGCTGTCCTAAGAATATACAAATGCTTCATATTTAGAAGGATTCCATCATAAATGAGTTTGGAGAGAAAGGTTTTTCAACACATGATACTAGGATACCTGGGATATTTATCAAGAAAATATGAAAATGGACCTCTAGCCTCACAGTGTTTCCATGCTAGGCCTTGAACATGCAAGGAAAGCACTTTATCCCTAGCCAGTGTCCTTACATTTTATACAAAAATAATTCTGAGTATATTAGAGACATAAATGTGAAAGGTAAAACTAAGAATATATTCTAAGAAGGATTTCTTTGGAAAAACACACACACAATTTACTTACTGCAGGGAACAGACTAACAATATGACAAATTATAGTTATCAGTAGAAAACATAAAGGCAATGACAAAATAAGTGACCTAGTGAGGAAGGTTGTATGCAGTACACATGAAAGACAATAGACTAAGCCCAGCGTAGGTGGCATACGCCTTTAATCCCAGGACTCGGGAGGCAGAGGCAGCCGGATCTCTGTGAGTTTGAGGCCAGCCTGGTCTACAGAGCAAGTGCCAGGATAGGCTCCAAAGCTACACAGAGAAACCCTGTCTCGAAAAAACC